TAGTAGTAGTAGTACGTAAGTAGTAGTAGTAGGGGGGAGGGGGGTGGGGACTTTTATAGACCAATCTTTTCATCTAATATGCTATATTCCTTGAATTGCGCCTTAATTTGAGCATTAAATATACAAAATACAAAACAATAAATCTACAAGATGTAGACTTATTTAATATAAGGGGACGACATGCATATGTACATGATGTTTTTTTAAAAAAGAAATAGGCAGAAGTGTTGTGCATCGTCAAAAACCAACAGAACAATTCGATCCCGTCACGTCTGGAACGAAGTAAATGTTTGAGTTTTCTTTTAAAAAGTCAGTATTGATTGCATAACACTTGTGATTAGTGAAAATACAAAAACATCACATGTATTGACTACGCTATTTTGATGCCAAAAAAACATAGAAGAATTGTAATAGTTTCATAATACTGATAATGACAGTGTCAATGTGCAATGATCATGATAGCTGATAAGTTCGCATTTACAAAAAATATATATATATATGATGAGTGTGTCTGATTGGGGTATGGTTTATAAATGAACTAAACAACTAATCAATAAACAGATATACGTATAAGTATAACGTATTGATGCATCTAATTAATCTCCCTACTCCCTAGTATTGCAATATTTTTTTTAAAAAGTTATATAGATTGTAACATGTAAAGGTTAGAGTTCTTTGAGAATAAGCTACCTACGAAAAATATTGAAAATAATATGCATGCAATGGAGAAAATTGTATTACTAGCAATATAGAAAGACTGAAACTTGGTCTTTTACGTCTTATTGGTTGTGTGTGTTTCTATCAATGACACTAAGCATTGGTAACTTAAAAGAATTGACCTAAATCCACGTTTTACCAATAAAATTGGATTGTTGCGATTTTGCGACACCAGTAAATAATCCACCTTTCACTTTATAAACAAATAGAAGCTACTAGGGACCCTAAAAGCTTTTAATAAAGCATACTCAAAATGTTTTTCTCTTTTCCTTTTTGGGTCAACAACACTCACATTGTATTATGAAACAATCAATTGGGACACAAGCCTCTCCGTCTCGCGCCCGTCGCCATCACCGTCAGAGCCAAAAGGTCATATGCACACATCTACGAACTATTTGGGACACAAGCCTCTCCGTCTCGCGCCCGTCGCCATCACCGTCAGAGCCAGAAGGTCATATGCACATCTACGAACTAGCTAATGTATATACAAATTAAAAGAAAAAATATATGAGCCAACAATAAATATATTTGTTTCATAAATTTTTCAAAAGATAAGAGTTTATGTTTGTACTCATCCGAATAGAAACTCAGTAAAATTATTATTGACAAAATGTTAAATTATATTTCAGATATGTTAATAGTTGGAACACCATTGTTTTAATAATCCAAAAGAATTCCATGGATCCTTCGGTAGTGGGTTAATAAGCATGTATTGTAATCTCCAAACAGCTAATCCTAAATCTTTGGTTGTTTAAAATAACAATTAAAGATTCTCAATTACTCGATTAAGACACTAATCACCACCACAATCTTTACGATTAAAAACATTCAATGGAAAAACACGACGTGGACGGTCCAGAAAACACTCACGTGGAGTTTAAAAACTAGACAATACTTTCTATAAATATAAAACAGGAGTACAACATATATAGTGTCTCTCTTTTGTTTAATTCATTTATGCCACTTTCGAGATCCAACCTGTCTCTCTGGTTCTTCCATCCCAAAACACGATTAGAGCTTTAAGCACATGGTTAGCAACCAAACAAATCTTGTCATTAGCTCCTTAATTTTCCAAGATTATAAATTTCCATAAATAGGTTTGGGAAACGTGGCACTGCTATTATAATATATCATATGCGTTCCCGGTGACAGCTAAAAGAGGAGCCTTTTCTAGATTGCTCTTGGGTTTGGTCCTAGATTCGTGGGGTGCGAGTTTTAGAAAATTCTCTTAATTAGTCTGTTAATTTATTGCTCTAATCTTACAATATGCTTTCTATTTTGGTTCTTGCAGCTTTAAACGCGATCGTGTTATTATTTTCATGGTGGTCCAAAGTAGTACCTGGCACAACATATATAGAAGCATTAGATTAGTTTAATTAGTAAAGTTTTAATCAATCGAAGTTTTTATACATTAATATATCAATTGATATAAAGCTAACCAATCAAGATCTATATATTAGCTCTCTCTCTAACTAACTACCATAAATACCAAATATTTAACATGTTCTGAATCAACATTTTAAAATACATCTTCTTTAACATTCTACTAGTATATATAGAGTTTGGAATTTCGATTACTTAAAAAACCAAATATAGTTGAAAATTTGACTTTTTTGGTTAAATATTCTCCAAAGATATGCTTTCTTTTCTTCTAATTGTAACATTATGATTGATTATTTTCATGCAACTCCTTTTCTCCAGATCGTAGGTCTAGGAAGGAGGATATTATAGGTTGATTTGACTACGTTACAGATTTAAACTAGTACGCTTTCAAACAAGTCAAAAGACACCATTCGGGTTACCCACTATAAAAGCAATCATCATATACATATATATTATACACGCATAATATTCATATACACTCATGCATAAAAATGTTTTCGTCTTCATATATTTAGAAGAAAAAAATGATTTTTTTTTTTACAGAAAAAGAATTCAAAGAAAAAAACGACTTACCTCATCAGATTTAACCTTTTAATTGTCTTGAAGCTAAATTTGATGAAATGAGTCATTTTTTCCTTTGAAGTTTGTTCGATATGAAAACAAAATATTGTATTAACAATGGCGATGCATTAAAATTTTAGTTTTCACAACATTTTTAAGTCCAACGAGGATTTTATTACTTTGATTCAATACAATCAGGCAGCAACATGTTGCCATTGATAGGCCCGATATGAATAAGCTTGATCAAATCATAAACGGGCCAATAACTCTTTTAAGCCCAATAGCTACACAGTTCAAACGTTGGACTCGTTCGTTGTAACTTGTAGGCAACCAACAATAATCAACTCAACATTGACCGTTGACTTATACGTCACCGTTTGATAGAACTGAGTGTGATGAATCTGACGATAATGTGAAGTGTGAACTGTTAAATCTTCACTTAACCCTTTTTTTTTTTTTAAATCCCGAAAATTAGAGTCGTGATTATATGAGTGTGATTTGTTTTTATTTATTTCTTAATTTTAATTAAATACAATAATTCGGTGACGGAGATTTTGGGGAGAGGATTTCTCGATGGGAAAAGGAGGCGGATGTGTTCCGAGCAAGAAGAAGAAGCCGTCGTCACTCGCCACCACCGGCGATGGTCCCGGAATCGATGATAACGACGCTACTAACAATGCTCCGATCCAAATTGAGGATGATCAAACCACCGTTGACGGAACAGCCACGAATACTGCTGGAACAACAACTCCAGCGATTACTACGGCCTCTGCTAAGATCTCGTCACCGCTCAAGATCTTCGTCGTGTTCTATTCGATGTACGGACACGTCGAGAGTTTAGCGAAGAGGATGAAGAAGGGAGTGGATAGCGTTGAAGGAGTGGAGGCGACGCTCTACAGAGTTCCGGAGACGCTTTCTCAGGAAGTTGTTGATCAGATGAAGGCGCCGGTTAAGGATTTTGAGATTCCGGAGATTACGGCGGCGGAATTGGCGGCGGCTGATGGTTTTTTGTTTGGATTCCCGACTAGGTATGGTTGTATGGCTGCGCAGATGAAGGCGTTCTTTGATTCGACGGGATCGCTGTGGAAGGAGCAGAGTCTCGCTGGTAAGCCTGCTGGATTCTTTGTGAGTACTGGGACTCAAGGAGGTGGCCAAGAGACTACTGCGTAAGCTTCTTTTTTTTTGTGCTTTTCTTATACACTTTTGTCATTTGCATTTGGTTCTCTCAACTGAAGTAGTTGAATTTGGAGTACAAAGTATTGAATTGATATAATCATAGCTTTTGATTGAGTCACTATGTGAAATAAATGCAACCTTGAATGTTCTGTTTATTTAAGTGGATGTCAGTACTGAAAGTTTGTTGTGGTCAGGACTTTGTGTTTGTCTAGTACTTTTGAGGAAACTTCTCAGAGATGCCTAATACCATTCAATCCTAGGGACTCTAATAGTTAAGTTTTGTTTCTAGATCAATTGAATTGGCGTCCAATCTGGCCACCACTGAATAGTATGATAGGACTGTGCGTAGGCTAGGTTGGTGTTAGATGTAGTAAGGAGAAGTTTATGAGAAAGTGTAAAATGAAGTTTATTAGATTAGATTCTCACTTTCTCAGCACATAAAGTGTTAAAGTTTCTAGACATGAGAGTGTTGCGTTCTAGAAATTTGCATATGTGTTTAAAGCTCTGTGACAGATTCTTCATTGTCTCTTCAGTTATCATTTGTTTTGAGGTCCCTTCAGCTGTTTTACTCTCAAGTTTTATGGAATCGATTCCCTTCTTTTTCAATTTCTTTTTGTCACTTGGCTTTTTGATTGCTTTTACACAGATATTTTTGCGCTTACTTATATACTTATGGAGAAACATAACAATGTGGAATCTTGCATGTTGCATATCATGGTAATATCGTATGCTTGAGCATCATAAAAGCATTTGCAGTTAGGATCCTTAGTTTTGTATTCTATTGTCAGCTTTGAACACTTGCGCTGATTCCATGTGGTGTTTGTTGCAGTTGGACAGCAATCACACAGCTCGTACACCACGGAATGCTATTTGTACCCATAGGCTACACATTTGGAGCTGGAATGTTCAAGATGGATTCTATCCGTGGAGGCTCTCCATATGGAGCCGGTGTGTTTGCTGGTGATGGGTCGAGAGAAGCAACAGAAACAGAACTCGCTCTTGCTGAACATCAAGGAAACTACATGGCTGCAATAGTCAAGAGACTTGCTCAACCTTGAAAGAAAAACAAAAATGGCTTTTTTCTTTTTTTCTCTTTTCTTTATTCAATCCCTCCTCCCACTAAATAATCATATAAAAATGTCTTCTTTTCGATTCCATTGAAATTTCTTTCTCTTATGAGTGTTTTTTTTTTTCGGTTTCTGCCATTTTCGAAGAACCTTGCATCATCATCGTAGGGTTCTTACGCTAATGGTTGTGTGTACATGTTTTTCTTAATTATTGTTCTCGAGTTCTTCATTGTTCTCCATAAATAAATATTTTTGTGATATTCTTGTAAAAAAATATATTGTTTCCGATGTTTTATCAAACAGAGTTTCTTTGAAAAAGACTAAAAACCACAAATCGCTAAAACATAGGAAAAAATATATTTAATTTTGAGTTGCGTCAGCCATTAGGATTCTACCTTGGAAGACGTAATGTTTAGAAGTGTTAGTTGTATATACATAATAAGCATAACTGTTGTATCTGTCTGTACTTTATTATCTTCTAGGAGTATAATAATTCTCTGGTGCTGCATCTGTGTTCGTCCTTCAGACATATCAAATACCGAAGCAAGTAAATTCTTCTCTCAACACACCAAACATCGCCATGTCCGAGATTCTCGCTTCCTTGAGGTCACTGATGGCCTCTCACTCTCCTCCTCTTGATGCTTTGGTTGTCCCTTCCGAAGACTATCACCAGGTATTCTGATTGTTTTTATTGAATTACCCCTTTTGATTCATGATCCGATCTTTGATCACTTGTTTATACTTCTTCTACTGCTTAATCATGCTTTGTTCACAAAAAACAAACAAAAAAATTCCGATTTTTATATTGTAATTAATTGAATCGTGTCCAGAGCGAGTATGTTTCAGCACGAGACAAGCGCCGTGAGTTCGTGTCTGGATTCAGTGGAAGTGCAGGTCGGTTCTGTTTGGATTGTTTCTAGATTCGAAAATCGTTAATTGAATCATTGATCGAGATTTGTAGACTCTTATTACACATGATTGGATTTGATCGCTGTTTATATAGGTTTGGCACTTATCACGAAGAGCGAAGCAAGGCTTTGGACTGATGGTCGATACTTCTTGCAAGCAATGCAACAGCTTAGTGATGAATGGACGCTTATGCGTATGGGTGAAGATCCTCTTGTTGAAGTTTGGATGTCAGATGTGAGCTGATGATCCATAAACTCGAGATGTTTCTTTGATTTTTTTGGTTTTGGTTTCATTGACATTTTTTTTTTTTTTTTTGTGATTGTTTGGGACAATGTAGAATCTACCTGAACAGGCAAACATAGGTGTTGATTCATGGTGTGTCTCAATAGATACCGCAAATAGATGGTGGAAGTCTTTTGCCAAGAAGAATCAGAAACTAATCACGACAACAACTGATCTTGTGGACGAAGTATGGAAGACTCGTCCACCTTCTGAGATGAGTCCCGTTGTTGTTCATCCCTTGGAATTTGCTGGCCGTTCTGTTTCTGAGAAATTGGAAGATTTGAGGGCAAAGCTTAAGCAAGAGAGGGCGCGTGGTCTGGTCATCGCTGCACTTGATGAGGTGTGATTCAAAGAAACTGATCTCTCTTTTCTCAGTTTAGCTTTGGAGGAATGTATTGATTGAGCTTTGACGATTATTGATGCAGGTTGCTTGGCTATATAATATTCGTGGAACTGATGTCGCTTATTGTCCAGTTGTTCATGCGTTTGCAATTCTTACTACCAATTCTGCCTTTCTCTATGTTGACAAAAAGAAAGTATCTGATGAGGTCAGGCTTTTGTTTTTGTTTCGGTAATATGCATAGTTGTGCTTAGCTTGTTTGTTAACTTCTGAATATTCTATTTTGTTATGAAGGCAAATGCTTATTTCAAAGGGCTCGGTATAGAAGTCCGGGAGTACACAGATGTGATCTCAGATGTGTCATTGCTTGCTTCGGATCGGCTTGTTTCTTCATTTGCCTCTAAAAATGGCCAACCCGAGGCTACAAAGGACATGGAGATTGACTCTGACCAGCCTGATCGATTATGGGTGGATCCTTCTTCGTGCTGCTATGCACTCTATTCAAAATTGGATGCTGATAAGGTTCTTCTACAACCATCCCCTATATCCCTCTCAAAAGCCTTGAAGGTAATAATGAATGATCTTTGATATGGTGACCTATCTTAGTGTTTTATTCATGTTGAGGTTTACTTATATATTGCTTCATTTCACTTATATCAGAACCCAGTTGAGCTCGAAGGGATAAAAAAGGCACATGTTCGTGATGGTGCAGCTGTTGTCCAGTACCTTGTTTGGCTTGATAAACAGGTACTTAATAGACAGAAATTTTAAGAATTTGTTGATTCTTTAATACTATGATATTGATGATTGTTAAATGTACACTCATCTTCGTGAAACCACAGATGCAGGAGCTGTATGGAGCCTCTGGATACTTCTTAGAAGCTGAAGCAAACAAAAAGAAACCTTCGTAAGCATCTTTCTTCTTTGTTTGTATATGTTTCCAGATCTTGCTTTATATTTTTACATAGTTCATTCCGCAAATGAGTTTTGCTTATGGAGAAAAATTAATAAACAGAGAGACCTCTAAGCTTACTGAAGTGACTGTGAGCGATAAGCTGGAAAGTCTCCGAGCTGCAAAAGAGGTAATGTTTACATATAAGAATATTAACAAAGTTAAAATTATTTCTTTTATCCTTTGTTTGTGTAAGCATCTGAATAGCTCAAATGCTTTGTTTCAAATCAACTTTTATGTGAATCGCATTTCTCTTGTTCTTCATGTGGTTGCAGCATTTTAGAGGTTTAAGCTTTCCTACTATATCTTCAGTTGGTTCAAATGCTGCTATTATTCATTATTCACCAGAGCCAGAAGCATGTGCCGAGATGGACCCCGACAAAATTTACTTATGTGATTCAGGAGCACAGGTTTGTTTCACATGGCTGAGTGTATACAGTATAAGCTTCCCTTATATCTAAATATCTAATACTCTTTGCTCTGAAATATAAATATTAATGTCTTTATGCAGTATCTCGATGGAACAACTGATATTACCCGGACTGTTCACTTTGGAAAACCTTCAGCTCATGAAAAGGACTGCTATACTGCAGTATGTGTACTTATTGATGATAACCTTATGGAGACTGCAGTCATATTTATTTGGCATTACCAAAGTTGCTAATATATGTAATGTGCTGCATCTTAGGTGCTCAAGGGTCATGTTGCACTTGGAAATGCTCGGTTTCCTAAAGGAACAAACGGTAACTTTTGTGATCTCTGTTACTTTAGTTCGTTTCTAACTTGAGACTTCTCAACGGAAGAGTAATTTGACTATTGATCCGTTATCCGTTATATGTCAAATTGGTTATATCCAAAATTACAGGTTATACTCTTGATATTCTTGCTCGAGCTCCTTTGTGGAAGTATGGCTTGGATTATCGCCATGGTACTGGTCATGGAGTCGGCTCTTACCTTTGTGTTCATGAAGGCAAGTGATGGGAAACCTATTTTTGTTCTGTTTTTCTTATATGTATTATATCAACTAACTTTCTGCGAAATTATGTGTTGGGACTATGCAGGACCTCACCAAGTTAGTTTCAGACCGAGTGCTAGGAATGTACCTCTGCAAGCTACCATGACTGTAACAGATGGTCTGTCTGCAACAAAAAGCTCGGTACTTCTCCCGTTCGGTTAACCTTGATCAGATTCTGAAAGCCTGGTTGTATTTTGTTATATTGCAGAACCTGGTTACTATGAAGACGGGAACTTCGGTATTAGGCTGGAGAATGTGCTTGTTGTCAATGATGCTGAGACAGAATTCAATTTTGGTGACAAGGGCTACTTGCAATTCGAGCATATCACTTGGGTACTTGCTCGTTGTCTTTTAACTATTTCTGGTTCTCTTATCGACACACATATCTGAGTTACTCTCATCTCCCTCTCCAGGCACCATATCAAGTGAAACTTATCGATCTAGACCAGTTGACACGGGAAGAGATCGATTGGTTAAACACATACCATTCGAAATGCAAAGACATCTTGGCCCCGTTTATGAACCAGACCGAAATGGAATGGCTCAAGAAAGCTACCGAACCTGTAAGTGTATCGGCTTAATCCCCTCCCAAATTTCTCTTACTTAGATGTTTATCAATGGCTTCTCTACTTCTTTCACTAGTAAACCAAAAATATTCAAGTCATTACACAGTTTATTTCCTTTGTTTGCATTCAAATCTCATGTTTCTTGACCATATGTCTTTGTCACTACAGTTTTAGAACATTCTCTATATCTACTTGGCGCATAAATAAAATATTATATTTATGTTTTTGTTATGCTTGAATTTTCAGTTTCTTTATATTAGTTTTGGATGAAGTAAGCAAATGGAATGTGAGTCTTATTGAGAGCTTCTTCTGCTGTCTTCTTCAGTTCCTTAGCATTCTTTCTCATATCTTTTCCTTCTTCTTGATCCATCACTTTCTTTACCATTTCAACTATCTCTTCCTTCTTTACAATCCCATCTGCAGCATTAACACGCGATGCTATCTTTAGCTCCTCTGACACCATCCACGCGTTCATCTTCTGTTCTGAGTACAATGGCCAAGCTACCATTGGCACACCGTTCACAATACTCTCCAAAACTGAGTTCCATCCACAGTGAGTCACAAACCCTCCAATTGATTCATGTGCCAGGATCTCCTCTTGCGGGGCCCATGTCTGGACCACCAAACCAATATCTTTGGTCCTGTTTAGAAACCCGTTGGGTAAGAATTCCATTGTTTCTGTCTCATTCTTGGTTTTGTCGAACATTGATGCTGATGGATCATCCTCGGCTGGTGGTCTGACGACCCAAACAAACCTGTGGCCGGTCAGCTCCAAACCGTAAGCCAGCTCGTTTGTCTGCTCGGCGGTAAGTGCCCCACCACTTCCAAAAGAGACATAAACCACTGACTCTTTGGGTTGTAAGTCAAGCCAGTCCAGCACACGGTGTTTTACACCCGGTTCTGCTCGTCTAACCAGCGGTCCAACAGGGTGAACCGGCACACCTCTCATAACGCTACCAAGATTCTCTGGAGCCAAGAAAGACCCGATCGTCACTGGCTCCAGATTATGCCAGGTATTCACAAACACCCCATCTGCAGTTATCACCTCAGCACCAATTCGCTGAGACTCAGCGAGTTCCCGAATATATTTACTCGGATCTTGAACCCTGTCAAACTTAACCGGGCTGCATCCTGGTATAGGCAATGCTCCTGTGCTACTCAAATGCTTGTACAAGGTCATCTTGTCAAGACTCGCCATATAAACTGTGAAAGCTAGAAACCAAGCACTGGTAGTAACCAGAACATGTTTCCTCATGATCTGAAGCTCCTTTGCCACAGCCAAAGCTTCTGTGCCCAACAAGTCAACAACGAAAACCCCAGGCTGCGGCTCTAACCCCATAACTGCAGACCTAATTTCCGGTAATGCCATCCTCATCATCTCTGCAAGTTTAGTTAGAAGTGAACCACTAAGATCTTGACCCGAAACATTGAGTGGAATAAACCTGATCACGAATTTGGGATCCGCTTCTGTCAACGTTTTCCCAAGGAGAGATTTAGAGCGTGGGACATCATCATCTGTGACTAGGAAGACGGTGATACGGTCGAACCCGTGGTGGTTGAGGAGATGCTTGCCGAGTTCTAAGATGGGTACAAAGTGGCCCATGCCGGGACTAGCCACTAGAGCTCCGTGAAGTTCCATAGTCCTCTAGAGTTGTTTAGAGAATACCTTTCCTTAATTGGTAAAGTGAGAATATGTTTTGGAGGGAGTTGAATATAAACTTATATAGAGTAGAACGAAGGGATTGAGATAGCAGTTATCGAAATGGACGAACATCTCACTGCAATAAATCATTCAAACGGATTGAAAATAGTAACATATTTATCATTAATTAAACCCCAAAACAAACATATAGTAGTTTATAAGATACATTAATTAAACTATAAATTTTGATTAAATACTACTACTATGTACCCTAAATGTAACGTTTGTACAAAGACAGTAATACCTAATATATAACAGTGCACTTGACTCGTCGTTAGTTCTGCGTGTAACGATGGTGTTTTGATGAGATGAGGCCAGGCATGGAAACATGTATCACGATGTGTTTGTTTGTTTTACCTTGTTTTGGACAAAACTACAAAGTGCAGTCTTGTGACTTGTTAAAACTTACTTGTTATATAATTTTTAAAGTAAATAAATGCAAATTATAATTGCAACAAATAGAAAGGAAAAAAAAAGTCTTATATGAAAAGAGGCAACCCAGGCTCAGTGGCTCACGTGGACCCAACGTGGGTCATCTCGTAGTTCCCTCATCTAATGGGCGCAATGCAAATGTTGTCATGTATCGTTGAATTACGACAAATGGAAAAAAAAAAAAAAAAAAAGGTTTTAAATTACAACATGCGATAAATAACAACAATAGTGTTATATATAAACTAATAATACAAAATAACGAAAATTAATAATATAAGTGCAAATTGTTAGAAGTAAACATTGCACATGGTAGGGGGTCCAATATCATCCGTTCGTGGAGCTTTCCTTTTTATATATCATCACCACCTAACTTGACAAAACAAACTTTGTTTATAATCATAACAAATAATTCAGATTTCAGAACAGGAACAAAAATTTCAAAATCTGGAAAGCAAATTGGATATCGAAATTACTATATCTGTAAAGATGAAATCGCTTAATACACTCTTACTTAAGTCTCTCTACAAATTGATCTTTTCCAAAACCCAATCTTTTTATCCTGTGATCAACAAACTCATATTATATATATATATATATATATATCTCTAAGAACATTTCATTATCATCACAGAGAAAATTTAAAAGTATAAACGGTGAATGTAACGGGTATGTTAAGAGGTTCGACCCTTTTTGACCCTTCCTCGGCCATGCGAGCTCCGGCTCCAATGTACTGTACAATGCTGAAGATTTTTGCTCTGTTATATGGTCACAAGGAGACTGAGAGATCTTTTACCACCAATCATTAGTATTTCAGACTGATTTCATGGTTCTGTTTTTTTTCAGCATCGGGTTTTTGTGCCACCGAGAGTGAGTTCGAGATCTTCTACGCCAACTTCATGAATCATTTCGCCTTCCCATGGCTTAACTGTTCCGTTCTCAAACTCAAACTCTGCACCTCTCCCATTCATTCCCCAATCTGATCTTTTCATATCAATGACCATCGATGTTTGCTTAACAAGATTGAATGTTGGTGAAGTAGGAGCTGTAGATTGGAAATTGATCCACCTTCCTGAATCCTCAATCGAATCCTCCTCGGATTCATCACATTCCGGAATTGTAGGTGGTGTTTGATGACCAGCACGACGAGTAGGACTAGAAGGAGCTGAGATAGCGAAAAGCGGATGCCTCAAAGCGTGTAGAGACCCGCCATTCGGTAATTGTTCCGAAGTGAGTTTCCGCTTAGAACCGCGAGAGGTAGGAGAAGACAACGGAGGAGTGACAGGCGCACTATTGGATATTCTAAGAGGTGGAAGGTTTGCAGGAATGGAAGAAGCGATGTTGTGTAGGAACGGGAGAAGAAGGTAGGAGGAAGGGTTTCCGTCGTAGCGAGATGGACTCGGGAAGGAAGATGAGACTGGGCTCCCGTGGTAAGAAGGTGCAGGACTTGGAAAAGCAGATGACTGTGGACTTGGTTGGATTGAAGAATTTGTGCTGAAGTTTGTAGGAGTCCCTGAAATATCTGATGCTGGTGGCTTAAGACCCTGTTTCCACAGTTGAAGAACCAAACCATTTTAGTCACTAAGAATAAAATCAAAAATCTAAAAATTGGTTAATCATCATATATAACAGAGGATATATAATAACACACTACATGACGCAAGTCCTACGTCAAAGTCAATAATTTAGCTTAGGTCTAAGTCAAGATGAAGAAGAGACTTGCCCAAATTTTCGCAAATAATCAGAGTACTTGTTCAATCGAATTAGCTAAATCTAAAGCAGAAACCACCAAATCTATATGCAGATCTAATCACAACGAAGAGATTTCGAGTGGTTAGAATCCAAAATTGGGGAAAGTTTGAAAATTCAACCCAATCAAACAGTAGAAACTCAAATCGCAAAAATCTCAGATTCTTTAACAATTCAAGAAGAATCCCGCAGATTGGATTAAAGTGAGCTGAAATAGAGAGAAGCTCAGATTCGGATCTAAAGAAAAAAGATACCTTGCGGTAAGTGGTGCCGTCGTCTTCGACGATCCAACCAGCTTCGAGACAAAGAGCTTTAAGAACCTCGTTGTTATCGCAGTGCTTGGGAAGCTTATAGTTACCTTGAGCTCTAAGACCAGAGTAAATCTTAGCAGTGATGGCTCTCCTCCTCCTCTCTCTCTTCTTATTGTTCTCCCTCTCTTTCCAAGTCGGAGTACGTCCCGACGACGATCCTCCTCCTCCTCCTCCTCCTCCTACTCCTACTGTTCCTCCTCCGGCCGCCATTGAAAAGAAAAGCTATCTGAATCTGTAAAATCTCTCTCTCTCTCTCTCAATCTCTCAAGTCTTTGTCAGAGTGGCGCACGAGGGAGAGAAAGAGAAGAGAAGCTCTTTACTTGTTTGTTTTAAGAGTTTATTTTGTGCGACGACGAGATTTGATTGGCTCTGTAACTTTCCCTTTCATCGATTCTTGATTTTTAAATATTCATTCATTTGTCTCCGCACGTGCGATCCGCGTCTACACGTGAGATCTATATATATTTTTTTTGGTTTTTGGAAGTCAGCTAACACACGTGTCCAATTAATTGTAACGCACGAGCTGTGGTCCCCCTTCTGTTCATTGAACTCGTATCTCTTTTCCTTTTTCCGTATTTTAAAAATATTAAATAAAATTTTGTGTTTTTTTTTTTCTCATTTTGGCACAAATATATCAACTCATGTTTGATTGTTTTTCCCCAGTAACGTTAGATAAATATTTTACGTACATAAAGAAAAAAAACGAAACATGATTAGGGGAAACTACAAGTAAACTTTAATAAGAAAATTTGGAGATAAGAAAGAAAAAAAACCATCAAATTGGTGATGGTGGTCGGAGCACGTGCGGTTCCAGTTAGGCGTGAGCAAAGGACAGGAAGCAGCATCACCAGCTGGGACTCATGCCAATTATTAATTTTTAGCCAACTAAATAATACTCATTTTGTTATATAATTTTCACAAAATGTATTAAAAATATCAGTTGTAATTATTATTATTGCATAGCAATCAAATAAAACAACTTTTTTTTGGACAATAATTATGTAGTAGTAGTATATTGCTACATTAATCTATAAAAACACGTCGTCTCATTCATATTCACAAATCCAACAACAACAAAAAAAAGACCATTATGAAATGAAAATGAAAAACAACAAAAGAATGCAAAAACTAAAGTAGGAATAAAAAGGGAAAAAAAAAACAATCTGTCAGAGAGTTTTGGATCAGATCATTCACGTGGGGAGGGGAATCTTTAACGTATAATCCTCTTTTTAAGTCGTACGGCGTGGTCACGTACTCTTTTTTGTTTTCTTTAATCTAAATTAATCGTGCGGCGTCCATTGTTGAGTGAGAGAGATGAGATGAGTCCTCTTCTCTCCCTCCCTTACTTGTTGTTCAATGCATCGGTCAGTCAATATTGGTGTTATTGCGTTCTCTTTTAATTTTAACCACTTGTTCCTTTCTACTAATATTTTCTTTTAATTTTAACTACTTGTTCGTTTATACTAGAAGAAAAAGATATATACCGGAAATAATAATTGTATTCGATCGACTAAATGAGATACTTCTTACCAGTTACCACCACCAGTAAACACTAGAATTAGATGTCTCTTTTTGTCCAACTTCTTTTTTTATCTAATTTTTTTTTTGGACAATAATTAGATGACATCTTGATGGTCTGTTGAGGAGTCTCAGTAATATTGCTCCATTTAGTTTACTTTTTTTTTAGAGAAGGTAACATATAAATGCAGCTTAGAATTTTAAGTTTTATATATTGGTATTTTTATGCTTGAAGTTGAGAGTATCGGCTTTTACTGTTTATCAAAATGTGTATTTTGGATGATGTTTTGCAGTAAGATTTCCGATCATGTTCAAAATTTGATAAACTACTTTTTCACAAAAATTTGGATAAACTAAAGACATTTTTTTTTGGATAAAAAGAATTTCACCTTTTAAAAGTGTTTGGATAAAAAAAAATATTATTTTAAAAGGTCAATTAATTATCTGTAACCATCTGTCAGCGCGATTACATTTCATCGTTCCATTTTCATCCACCCTCGACATTTGTATAATCTATATATCCTTTCCCTCTATTTACCTATTATCTTTTATATACACCCTAAAACATTATCCATACACACACTTAAACCCCTATTTCCTAAACATTCATCTATACACAAACCTAAATCCCTAAACATTCATCTATACCACACATCCACAACCTATACATTCATCTATACAATCGATACACATACATCTTTACCAGCCGTTTACACACTATACACATACACATACATCACACACTTTACACCTATACATCCATACTCACATACGTCATTTGCGTCTCGGCCTTCAAACAAGTTGAATGTGAGGGATCTCAGTCCACTTTCCCATTCCTTCCTTTTTGTAACACACTTGATTCGAGTTAAGTGTTCTTCATAAACTGCAAAGTCAGATGAATAATAAGAATTTTAGTAACAATGTGTTTATTCCAAATAATACATTGCCGAAATAAATGTAAATATATTTCAGTTTTGTATACTGTTAAAAGAAGAAGGAATAGCATCTTTTCGAGCCTATATAAAAAGGTATACGTATAACGCTCAATCTAAACTATTCTATAAGGGAACTGAAAAAAAGGTAAAAGAACAAGGAATGTTGATTTTGTCTATTTACATTATAACAACTAACAATCATTCCGATGAAAAATTACATGTTTTTCTTAGGAAGAAACAGAGCATGACAAAATTTGTTATATCCACAATTTACTTTCTTTTTTATGGCAAAATTGTAAACGTCCTCTAACAAAAAGCAAACAAAACGGAGTTCTAGAATTCTTAATTTCTTATCATTCCCCCCAACATATGCAAATCTCTGAACTATTGTGATCTCTGAAATATATATATAACTGCCATCTTATGAATATTTTGTGACCTCCCAAATATATATCTCAAATATTCTTTTCAAAACTCCATAACCATATATGCATGATTTTGAAGAAAGAAAACAAAAGAATCTGACCAAAAACTAAAGAAAAAAAAAAAGAATCAGACCAAAAACGTTACCTTGTTAGGGTGATGTCCATCTCTTACTGTAGTCGCACGGGGGATGAGAAAATCAGAGATGACAGCTTGAGTAGTAGAACACATATCATCAACAAGAACAAAACCGAGAGTGTTGGACCATTTGAATCAAAGAGTTTCCCGAGTGAGTAATGAATATTTTTGATGTCTGAACGACAAGAAGAAGAGGTATTATATAGAGATTTCTCTAACGGTCATATAAGTTTGGGTGAAAGAAAAAGAAAACAATGGATAAATAAAAGTTACCGTTAGAAAATTATTTTTAGAATTAAAAAAAATTTCAATCGGTCAGATAAGTTACCGTTAAAATTACTGTTCAGTAACGTTCAAAATTTTTACTTTTTCCCGTAACGTTCCGATTCCGTGAACGCTCACTGTAAAACATCCGGTTATACGAAAATTGAAATCAGCTGAAAAACCCGGTTTATGTAAATCATGATCTCTGACGCTTGGCCCTGTAACGATCCACGTCCACCCACCAGCTAATGATACGTGCCCAACTAATTGGATTTTAAATTAATTAATCTATATAGATTAAAACTAATGGCAACTTGACTTATCTAATAATAACATGACGTCAAGAACGTAAACATTATCTAAAAAACATAACTGTAATTAATAATAATATTCGGCGGGTCTACAATCGTATTCTCGTACGATTGGTTGGTTTTTTAGATCCGATAATAAAGAAACAAACCAAACTCCGGCTCCGGCTAATCGGGAACACAAGTTTCGGATTTTTTTTTTGATGGGTCGTGCTCGACCTCCGTCCGGTTTCTTCTCCGTCGCTTTTGAATCCCTCCGGTCTCTGCTCCCTCGCCATCACCGTACTAACAACATGAAGATTAAGTAAGTTCCTTTTCTTGACTCTTATCTCTATTCGATTCAGAATTCTTTTTATTTATATAATAACTTTAGGGTTGTTTAATCGTCTCGTAGATCTGTGTTTAATCAAGAAAGATGATTAACGGTACTGTTTCATTGTCTCTGTTTCTTGAACAGAACAGGAACGTTTTTGGGTGTTTCGATATCACTGATTCTCATAAACTTAGCTGCGATCATGGAACGAGCAGACGAGAATCTGTTGCCTTCGGTTTATAAAGAAGTGAGTGAAGCATTTAACGCAGGACCATCAGATTTAGGCTACTTAACATTCGTAAGAAACTTTGTTCAAGGACTTGCATCGCCATTAGCTGGAGTTCTTGTCATTACCTATGATCGTCCCATTGTTCTTGCAATAGGTACTTTCTGTTGGGCTTTATCAACTGCTGCTGTTGGAGCCAGCAGCTACTTCATTCAGGTATTGACATCTGAAGTCTTTTGAAGTTAAAAAAAGTTTTTGAATTGATCTGTTTGGGTGTCTTGTTATTTAGGTTGCTTTATGGAGAGCAGTGAATGGGTTTGGATTAGCAATTGTTATACCGGCGCTTCAATCTTTTATCGCAGATAGTTATAAGGATGGTGCCAGAGGAGCTGGTTTTGGTTTGTTGAACCTCATTGGTACCATTGGTGGTATAGGGGGAGGTGTTGTAGCAACGCTTATGGCTGGTTCTCAGTTTTGGGGCATTCCTGGATGGCGTTGCGCTTTCATAATGATGGCTACGCTTAGTGCAGTGATCGGATTACTTGTCTTTCTCTTCGTTGTTGACCCTAGAAAGAACAGTACTGAACGGTAATGATCTCCACATTGTTATGTGATTTGTAAGACAAAGGACACAAAAGGGTTGATGAGTTTCTTTTTGGCTTGTAATTGTAGAGAGGAACTAATGGTTCGTAAGACAAATTCAACCTCGGTTTGGAACGATTCATGGGCAGCTGCAAAATCAGTCGTTAAAGTACGTACCTTTCAGATAATCGTCGTGCAAGGAATTGTTGGTTCTTTTCCGTGGACCGCTATGGTTTTTCTGACAATGTGGTTTGAGCTTATTGGTAAATGACGAAAACCTTGAACATCCATTATCAATCAAGAACCAAGATCTTGAATGTAAACCACCTTTTTTGTTTGTTTTAGGTTTCGATCATAACCAGACTGCTACTTTGCTTGGGGTATTTGCGACGGGCGGAGCGATAGGAACGTTAATGGGAGGGATTGTCGCGGATAAAATGTCACGGATATATCCAAATTCTGGAAGAGTGATGTGTGCACAATTCAGTGCATTCATGGGAATCCCATTCTCAATTATTCTTCTGAAAGTAATCCCACAGAGCACAAGTAGCTACTTAGTCTTCTCAGTAACTCTCTTCTTGATGGGTCTTACCATAACTTGGTGCGGATCAGCAGTTAATGCACCGATGTTTGCGGAAGTTGTTCCTCCTAAACACCGTACAATGATCTATGCATTTGACCGTGCTTTCGAAGGTTCATTCTCGTCTTTTGCTGCGCCTTTGGTTGGGATTTTGTCTGAGAAGATGTTTGGGTATGACTCAAGAGGTATTGATCCTTTGAAAGGTTCCTCTGTTCGAGAGGCTGATGCGCTTTCAAAGGGGCTTTTGTCGATGATGGCTGTTCCGTTTGGACTCTGTTGTCTCTGTTACACTCCGTTGCATTATGTTTTTCAGAAAGATCGGGAAAATGCGAAAATTGCAAGCTCTAAAGAAACTGAAATGATTTGAGAGACATTTTGCTCTGAGTTGTGATTCTTTTAGGCACATACGATTTCGAGAGCATTCTGTAAATCAGAGGTGGACATAACACAAAAAAGAGTTTAAAAACCAAAACCAGATCGTACTGAATCCTAAATTTTGTTTATTTACATTTGTGAATACATAAAAAGAAATTGGACCAATAAATCACAATTATATATCAGCAAAATCGAATCAAACAACAAACAGATATAATAAATCAGACATTTTTTTGCATAAAATCAGACAAATAATTTAGAAGGAACCCCAAGTAAATGACAAAGATCATACATGTTATACAACCAGATTTTTGAGTTTCCAATTCCTTTCAGTCTCCTTTATCAAATTCTCCCGAACTAAAAAGTTCACAAGATTTTGAAATAAGGAAAGGGTTTCTTTAACGTGAAATGTAATTTTACAAGATCAAACAAACAAAGGGTCCTTGAGAAGAAGAAATACAATGGCGGATAGAGAGGTTGGTTCTTATCTTTTTGCTTGAGAAGACGAACCAAAGCTTGTTAGATACAGCGCGGGAAAAAGGTTTGACCGACATACCCACCGGTCATGGCCCTCCGAACATTGGTCTCAAACAGCTTTGGGTTATCCCTTAAAACTGCTGCCGCATCATGGTTCAAAGGATCTTCGGAATTGGGTTCCTGTGTCAAAACAAGCACACAGTTCAGAAACCAATATAACACAAAACCTAGTTTGATCTAACTGTCTGGCTAATATACCGTGAAAAGATGGAAGAGTCCATAGATAACTGTGTTTATATTAAGAACTGGTTTCCAGTCTTCACGCAAGATGTTCAGGCAAACGTTTCCTTCCAAATCGATATTTGGATGATAAACCTAATCAAGAAAACAAAAACAGCTTTTACAAATACCAAGCGATTTGGACATAGAAGGAGGAAACTATAAGAATGTGAAACAAAGAGCCTACCTTGGTTTTGCATTTGACTTTTGGAGCTTCATGTGGATACACAGGAGAGACTTGGAATGTGAAAACAAACGTACCATTTCTGTTTTAATATGCAAGAAAGAAACAAATGAGTTATTAAACAAGTTTTTGAAGTCTGATCATGATATAAAAACACAAATGTAAACAAACTTTACTCAACTGGTAGTATCCATCATCGGGTTTAATGGAAACTTCAAAGTTCATCAAATCATCTTTGCCATTTGGAAATGATATCGTACAAGAGCTCGGAAGGTTCAACTCCGATATATCTGCACCAATAAAAAAAATTGAAACTTGAAGAAGAGACTAAACGCAAGAACAGTAGTGAAACAAAGAAAAGATATACACCTTTGTGAAGACGAAGTTCACCAGCAGATTGCTTCTTGACAGAAGCTCCTCCTCTAGTAGCATTTTGAGCTTGTTCTCTTTGCTTTTCCTTTACCTTAAATAACCCAATCATTGCTTCCGACCTCTCTTAAGAAACTCAAAACTCTCACACACACACACACACAGCTGCAACAACATCAAAAATCGAATCTGATTAAAATTGTAAGACTGAGATTTAAAATTTAGGATTCTTAGTTCATCATCACTTGTAAAAAGAAATTAACTTGACAAGAACTTATAAAAATATATCCTTGTGATATATTTAAAATCACAACAGCAACTATAAAACAGAGCTATCACAATTTCACGCTACACATCGCAACAATTGGAGCCCAAATCCGAAGATCCCTAAAACAAGCTCTCTGACCAAAATCTCAGAAATGAAAACGCGTTTTCAATCAAGAACAAGCTAATAATCTACTAACAAGTTCCAAGATCGGAGACTTTAAACATAATCAGAATCGCAAAGCTAAGAAAAAAACAAAGACTAGGTCGAAACATCGAAAGCTAAAACATCAAAGACAATTAAACAAAAAGGGAACAAAATAAGGTAATGGAAGAAGAAGAAGAAGAAGAAGCTTACAAAGTTGATAACTCCGGTTGTTAAAACACGATAAACAGAAACAGATTACAAACGAATCAAAGGTTCTGTCTCTCTCTCTCTGGCACCGAATTGTCGTCTCCGGGAGCTAAACGACGAAGAAACAGAAGAGAAATGTTGCAATAACACACAATCGTAGCTTTTTCTCGACGCTGAATCAGAGAATCAGAAACTTGTTACTGTTTGATATGTTCCATCTAGGCCCATAAGGCCCATGAGGCCCATAAGAAACAATAAATATTGGTAGTTTGCGCGCTCTCGGTAAAATTAATACGAGCAAGCAGATGTGTCAGACATCAAAAACGTCAAGAGTCCATATGGGGTTTTGGCATTATTTGACCCGTATGCATTTTTCATTCCATTTTTACTAAATTTCGTGTAAAACCATATTAAGTTGAAGGTGTTCTAATTCTTTTCTGGTTTGTGGACATTTCTCTAATGAAGACACTATGTTTTAAAACGTTTTTTCTAAAATAAAATATTAATGTTGACACTAACATATAAACTAATTTCGTTTTCATATTTAGTTCAATTGATTTTTAGGGATTGATACAATCCACTAATAAAAATAAATATAAATAAAGAAAAAAAATGTTTTAAATGATAGGAAAAATCAGTCTGCAGTTAATACTTAATGTAATTGTTATGTGATGATCATCTTTATCCTATTCATTTTATTTAATGGTAACACATAGGATTTTGAATTAATGATTTTGATATTTTACCAAAACAATGATATATATTTTTGTGGTATATTTGTCAAAGAAACAGAAAAAAAATCTACAAAACTGACAATGAAAACTTTATTTTCCTTTCAGCAACAATGTAATTTTTTTTTTTCAGAAAGTAATTATCAACAATCTAAGCCAGAAATCATTTCTAAATATCACATTATCATCTTTGTGCTATTAAAAAGAAAACATTTTTTATGGACTTAAAAATAAAATAGAAAATAATATAAAAATATGAAAGAAAAAAAAAAGTGAAAACATCGTCATCTCCACCACCACTAACAAGGCCCATTCCGTCGTCACACACAACCCTATCTGTTACTTCTTTAGCTTCTCACTAATGACCAATCCAATTCTCTTCTTTTGATTTTGACTCCAATCAGAAAACAAAAACTAAAAAGAAAAAATTTAATATAAAAACAAAAGAAAACAATCTCAAATCGCAGATTTCAGGAAATCGCCATGGCTTCAGTGACTCTAGGTTCTTCATGGGTTGTTGTTCACCACAAGCATACTTGTTCTTCCTCCATCTTCACCAAACCCAGATCCAGATCTTCTCCTTCCCTCGTGACTCTTACTAAACCCATCTCACTCCGCTCAAAACGCACCGTTTCGTCGTCTTCCTCGATCGTTGCGTCTTCCGTCGTTACGAAAGAGGACAGTCGCAGCTCATCCGCATCATCTTCGTCCTCTCCCTTCGATTTCATGTCTTACATCATCTCCAAAGCCGAATCAGTCAACAAAGCTTTAGATTCAGCTGTTCCTCTCCGTGAGCCACTCAAGATCCACGAAGCTATGCGTTACTCTCTCCTCGCCGGCGGCAAAAGAGTCAGACCCGTTCTCTGCATCGCCGCTTGTGAACTCGTCGGCGGTCAAGAATCCGTCGCTATGCCGGCAGCTTGCGCGGTGGAGATGATCCACACCATGTCGTTGATCCACGACGATCTCCCTTGTATGGATAACGACGATCTCCGCCGTGGGAAGCCGACGAACCACAAAGTGTACGGCGAGGACGTCGCTGTTTTAGCCGGAGACGCGCTTCTCTCGTTCGCTTTCGAGCATTTAGCGTCGGCCACGAGTTCTGAAGTCTCTCCGGAGAGAGTGGTTCGAGCCGTTGGGGAATTGGCTAAAGCTATAGGAACGGAAGGGCTAGTGGCGGGTCAAGTCGTGGACATTAGTAGTGAAGGGTTAGATTTAAACGACGTCGGTTTGGAGCATTTGGAATATATCCATTTGCATAAAACAGCGGCGTTGCTTGAAGCTTCTGCGGTGTTGGGAGCTATCGTTGGTGGAGGAAGCGATGATGAGATCGAGAGGCTGAGGAAGTTCGCGAGGTGTATTGGTCTGTTGTTTCAGGTGGTTGATGATATATTGGATGTGACAAAGTCGTCTAAGGAGCTTGGGAAGACTGCAGGGAAAGATTTGATAGCGGATAAGTTGACGTATCCTAAGATTATGGGTTTGGAGAAATCGAGAGAGTTTGCTGACAAGTTGAATAGAGAGGCTCGTGATCAGCTTTTAGGGTTTGATTCTGATAAGGTTGCTCCTCTGTTGGCTTTGGCTAATTATATTGCCAAAAGACAGAACTGATTTGTGTTTCTTTTTTGTTTTTTGGATATTGTTGTTGTTGTTGTTGTTGGCTCCCTTTGTGGGAATCATCTTAGATTGAAATTGTAGAAATGTCGGGGAGAAGGTAAATCAGATTCTAGAGTTTGTTAATGCTGCTCTCTCTCTTCTTTGTTGGTGGTGTGTACTCTCTATGTTTCCAGCATGTACTAAAAAAAAATTGGATAGTAAAAATGGATGAAATTTTCAAGATATTTCAAGTGTTAGTAGTGGTGTCTGGAACAGAGGGCTTTGGTTGGATCTGTAAGTCTTTATTATTGATGCGAAACACTCTGTTCTTTGAGCTCTGGTTTTGTTAAAGGCTTGAATTTGATGATGAACTATGTGTTTTAGTACAGAACACTGTAGAAATCTCGGAGGGTCTCGAGAGTGTATTGGTGTGATCATATTTATGTTTCCACGTACTAAAAAGACTGGTTAATAATGTATGACATATGAAGAGATTCATGTGCTTGTGGTGTCGGTAAGAGGATTTTTAAGTCTATACTCTGTACAGTTCTTTCGGCTCTGTTCTGTTGTGTAAACAAACAATGTGTTCTTTATTTAGTCTTAGATCTTAAATGTACGACCAATAATAACACGACGTCGTTTCATAAGCGTTAAACCCAAATAAGTAAAGCAAAATAGAGTTAAGAGTTGACAAAAAAGACAGAGTTAAGAGTTAAGGCGGCCCATGAAATGAAAGGCTTTAGTTAGACCGACACAAGTATTAATAAAGTACGTCTTTCTTGAATGGGCCAATTTCATGTATTGGTTCCCCCAAATTAAAAAAGCCCAATCGGAAATACTGAGTTCCAAATAAAGCCATATGTTCTGCTTATTCGTGTGTTATTCGCTAATATGTGTAGGTGGCACCAACATCTTTCTATGGTCTGTTGTTTATCGTCAAAAAAAATCATCATTCAACGATCAACAAAACAACCTTTCATTTTAATAAAATAAAAATTAAGATTGTTCGTAATAAACGATCTCTGCAATCTCCAGTACACGAATATTACGTTGTTTTACACCATACGCATGATATGAATGATGGTTTAACATGAATACAAAGCACATCTAAATAATATTATACGAGAATTTCTATGTTTCACTCACTCCCGGTCACGTAAATATCAACTTTATAAAGAATATGCCACCAACACCAAACCATTTGCATGGATTTGCCAACTCTATCATTTGGAATCATGTTAAATAATATTCGATCTTTCTTAATTGTACGATCGGCTTCTGCAAGGATTCTGCTATATTCGCGCCTCCGTACACAACTTGCAAAGTTTTTATTTGTTTATATATTTAAAATGTCGCTTGCTCATAGTCATAGCCTCATAGGTTACAAAATTAATGGTTTGTAATCAGTGTATGATGGCTTTCGTGTCTTTTCTTTTTTTTTTCTGAATCAATGTTTTCACTTCATTTCCTATCCATATATCCCATGTGCATATATTCCTCTAATTAAGAATATCACATACATTACCAAAGATTTACAACTTACGAGAAAATGAAGAATATATATGCAGAATCTGATTTCTTTCGTTTATGTTGTGGTACTCTAGAATACGAGAACGAGCTGACAAGAGGATATTGTGATTAACATATATATCTATATATTTTACAGCATTGGTATTATTAGGAAATGTTAAAACTTTTGATATCAGAAAATGAAATGAATTGTGTATACTATATGTTAATCACTTGATATTATCCCGAAGATTCTAACTAGGCAGCTGATCTTGAATAAATATGGGTAATTATAAACGTCGATCATATACGAATTCCATATGATAGCTAGTATATGATATGAAAAGTACATATTCGGCAGCTAGAAGTTGTCCACTTGCGCAGATAATACAAATTGACATATGCATTTTCTTATAGAATTAATCGAACAGAGAAAAGAACCGATGCATTAAGAATGATTTCGTCACCGGGGCTATCCATTACAAGCCTTAGTCAAATTAGTCGATATGTTTTATTTATTTTTCTATTCTTCTAACAGAAATATAATCTGACTATATCGTTGTTAAAATAACATATACTATTAATATTTTAGTTTTAGATTAATTATAATAATACCTTACAGTTTTTAGAAGTTCTAGAATCTTAATTAGACCGGATATAATCGTTGAGTTGGGTTGTATATAAAATAAGTTTGTTCACATAGCAAGATATATATATATATATATCATGACCATGATTTAAACACGCAATAAACTTGTATTATCTGCGTCAATTAAATCAGATGTACAACCAGGATAACATGTATTTGGATATGAACGTAGACATCAGAATAATTATCATTTTAATTCTAAAAAATGTAAACGTGATCATTTCAATATAAGAAATGGCAAAGTTATACTCATTGGATTGAATGAAATTGAATGAATCACACGATCTTATTTTCCTGAATCGTTTATATATGAAATTTTAATCTAAAGTTGATTTAAATTTTCCGGATATGTGAACTAAAACCACATAAAACTTTAAGTCGAACAAATCTTGTTTTAAAAAAAAATCTATAAAAAAGTATAATTTTGTATTTCTCTTTGTTTTTTGTTTTGTTTCCAACATGTCTTATAATCTTTTAAAAAACAAATCTGTAGCATGCATGTGTTTCTTTTGTTGGTTCTCTAAGTAAAGAGCAATATTTATAGTTATATCCCACACAATTAAATACTCCATATAAATAATCTTTAATTTAAAATTAGAATCATGATTAATGTTTGGATATAAGGCTAATATTTAAAGATTTTGAAAAATTAAAGATAACCTTACGTACTCGTTTGGTGCAAAGAATTCTAGAGCTCATTATTCATAAACCAAACTAAACCAAATTTTTAAACCAAATTATATAAAACCGTTGAGAATGTATTTAGACACAGATCAATGATAATTTTGTTTTATACATATACATTACATCACAAAAATAGAAGATAAAACAGAAAATGTGGCGACACGTCCGTGTGTTCAAATTTACTGAGTTACCATATATATATACATACACATAATCTCTTACTAGATATGCAAAAGATAAAAACAAAAAAAATGTGACAACACGTCACTGTTTCAAAAAAATTTACTGTGTTTCCCTATATAGACATTATTACATCCAAAAATAATAATTCATGTCATTAACATTACCATTGACTAACTAAATGCAAGAGATAAACTTCTCATTTTTTACTAAACATGTATGTAAACAAGATAAAACAGAAATATGTGGCGACACGTTTTGTCTTTTTTTTTTATATAGATATTTATAACAAAAAAAAGGAAATGTTAAAATCGGACGGTTAAGGAGGCACCGCACTTTATCATCAACATAAATCCAAACACGTGGACGGTAGTCAGCTACCAATATCTCGAGCTTAACCAATCACGAAAAAGGCATAATATTGAATTTCTCGTGATATCTCTGCTGACGTGTATGATCTCCCCCACACAACCAAGACTTTGATAGAGAGTTTACGTCAGATTTTATGTTCTGTAAACAGAGGACTTTGGTTAACCTATATAAAGCTCTTACTTGCTGTTCGATTTTTCACCAACTAGTTCATTGCACATCGAATTCAATTCTTTCTTTTCGAGTTTCGATTTTATCTTTTTTTTTTTTTGGTTTTGCAATGGTGATGATGAAGAGGCTTTTGTCGCATCGTTTGTTCAATATGTCAAAAATGGCGTCGCAGGGTTTAATGAACTGTCGTATTTCGTCTTCTGCCTTAGCCGTGCGAACAAGGGTTCCTAATGATCCTGGAGAAGCGAGGGTTGATCCGGAGCCGAATGATTTGACGATGTCTCGAAGGTTTTTTCACAAATACCCCATGAACCATCGAGGGGATGGTACTACCAAGATGTCGATCGGGGAGAGTTTGATTGAGAAGCTTCGAGAAATGGATGTGAACAAGGACCGGATTCGATTAGACGGGCTTTCTCATCGGACGGTGGAGAATGAGAAGGAGGAGACGGCGTTGGGGTTTATCACGGTGCAAGACGTCAAGAAGTTGCTAAGAGCGTCACAGATCGAAGTTGTCAAAACGAAGCTGTTGGAGACCGGGAAGATCTGGATTCCTTACTCTGATTTCGTACGTGTTTGTAGTGATTCTTCGTTGGATCCTTCTCAAGGGCCTTGGATAGCTAAGATGCTTGACGATTCTGGAAGCGTCATCGTTTTGGGAGACTCTGTTTGTTTAAGACCTGATCAGGTAACTTCTTCGTCCTCCTCTTTGTAGATGTAGTTTTTCTCTGTTTCTATGGCTTATTTGATCATTGGTGCCTTTTCTTATGAGGGCGGATTAATTGAAAAATTAGTCATTAGTATCATTGGTCCTAAGCTGTTTTGGATGTTGACGATGTCATTAAATCTTAAATGAGGAGGTGAAGTTATTGTTTTACTCCAACAGTGTTCTGATTTTGGTATTTGTCTTGTGTGTGATCAGGTAACCAAATCCATCGAAGGGCTGCTTCCTTTACCACAGATCCGTAACCCAAATGACCCAAGAAGAAAAGAACTAAAAGAACTTGAAACCATAAAGACGGTCCTCGACGAGAAAGCACATTCTTTGGTGAGAAGAGAGCTTTGGGCTGGTCTAGGTTACTTGGTCATCCAGACCGCAGCGTTCATGAGGCTAACCTTCTGGGAACTCACATGGGATGTTATGGAGCCCATCTGTTTCTATGTCACATCGACATATTTCATGGCTGGTTACTTCTTTTTCCTCAGGACATCGAGAGAACCTTCCTTTGAAGGGTTTTACCAAAGCAGGTTTGAGGCTAAACAGAGGAAACTAATGAAATCTCAGGATTTTGATGTTGGGAGGTACGATGAGCTGAAGAAGATGTTTGATCCCAAACCTTCATCTGCTGTTTCCAAGATTCTTGGAACTTTACAGAATTAATATTCCTTTTTGGTGTTTCGTTATCCTAACTTGAGAAAGACAAACTGACACCACCACCCCCCCCCCCAAATTGTTTAAAAACAATAATTTTGATCATTACATATAATCTTATATAGGGGAAAAAGAGTAAGACAAAAAAAGGTTCTAGTAGTGCGGCTTATGTAAATTTGGGAGAGTAGATTAAAGAATCGATCGTAATGATATACAGTAATAAAAACTTCTATCATACTATATGTTACCAATAAATTGTAATGACTTTCTTAGTGTGAAATATTACAAGACCGTATTCTAAATTATATTAGTTTATTAAATAGAACATGTATAACATATGCTTAATACAATTATTTCGACGGATTTACATAAATGATTGGTAGAACATGTTATGCGTGGGAGTAGTCGTTGTAGTAAGTTCACCGTCCAAGTCTCCCTTTTAATTCATCCACGAGGCAATCAACTACGACCGTGTACATGAAAAATCTGAGTTTGGTTGGTCAAGAGTCACTTTTGGAAAATGAAGACAAAAGAAAGATTCGCTTGTGGAAAGTAATATCAAGTGGACAAACCCGAATTACTCAATAGTGAAAAAGATGTGTACATTATAGTTTCTGCCGTGATTACGATATTAGGATAATTTGTAATAATTTAATCGCTTTGTTTGGTACGTAAGCGTAACAAATCTTTTGTTTACTCACAAGAACAAAACAAGAAGTACGATACGTATTGCCAAAAACAACAACAATTAGGGAAAACGATTTTTACTAAATTTATTCGATACGTAATCAAATTATCTTTGATCTATCTTAGCTGGCTCATCAAATTGTGTGAAATAATAATTAATAACTCGTTACTGTGTCTTACTGATATGATTCATCTTCGTAACAATCGCCCGACGCATATTCCAATATTTACATTTTTTTTTCTCTTAAGTAATGCTCTCTTTCTCATCTACTTCTAACTTCTCCTTGAGTAAAACTTAAAACTCTTAACCATGAAGGCATAACAACAGTATATGGACGCTTGTCTGAATTTCTCAACCCCAAGGCCCAAACTCTATTTCTTGTCTAGAGGTTCTTCTTAGATTATAATTGTTTTTATTGCGATTATGGTAATGTATCTAAAATGATCAACTCGACGTTTTCCGGATTCGAGGAATATATTCAACTATAGTTTGCTATTTCGACTTATATCTTAGTAAAACAATCCCATTAAGACCGTTTTAACAAATATCAATTCACATAGAAACTTTAATTTGTCACGTATCGGTCCACATCATTTTGCTTTCATGACAAGACCGGCCATTTAGTGATGACCAATGTTTTACACCAATTATTGGGAAAACGAAAACGAAATTAATCCTTAAAAAAAAGAAGACGAAGAAGAAACAAACAAAGCTTTAAATATGAAAAAGATGCACGCAGACATATAAAAGACCACTCAAGAGAAGAAGAAGAAGACGAGTCACCGTGATCACTACCACCGCACCGTCCGATCAAAACCAAACCATGTCAGCGGCTCTGATCGACTCTCTCACTTACTACCTCTCCGAGCATCCATACATCGTCGGGTTCCGTTGGAGCAACAGCCAATCATGGGGCTCCACGTGGTCTTTTCTCTTCACCTCAATATCACTCTACATCGCCGTCTCCTCCTCCCTCCACATCCTCCTCTCCGCCGTACTCCGCCGTAACCGCTCCGTTCCTCTAGGCCACATCCCCGAACTCCACAGCCTTCTCATGTCAATTCTCTCCGCAACTATTTTCGCCGGGATTCTCCTCTCCACCGCCGCAGAGATCCGTGACACACGGTGGTTCTGGCGGCGGAGCAAAACCGCTACTCCTCTCCAGTGGCTTCTCTGTTTCCCTCTCGGGACTCGTCCCTCTGGTCGTGTCTTCTTTTGGTCATACGCGTTTTACCTCACACGTTTCCTCCACATGTTCCGCACGATCTTCTCCGTTCTTCGTCGCCGGAGACTCGCCGTGTCTCAGCTCTTCTGCAATGCCGTCATGGCCTTCACGTCGTTCCTCTGGCTCGAGTTCTCGCAGTCGTACCAGATTTTAGCAATTCTATCGACGACGCTGGTTTACTCGGTGGTTTACGGGTACAGATTCTGGACCGGGTTTGGTTTACCCGGTTCGGCTTTCCCTTCGTTTGTGGTGAACTGTCAGTTGGTTCTCGTGGGGTGCAATCTCGTGTCTCACGCCGGGGTTCTTACGATGCACCTCTTTAAAGGTGGATGCAATGGGATTGGCGCGTGGGGTTTAAACTCGGTTCTCAACGGTGCGATTTTGTTGCTTTTTCTTAAATTTTATGTGAGAATGCATTCGCCGATGCGACGTCGTGTCAACAACACTTCGCCGGAGCGGCCAACGTAACGGAAAAGAATCTCATGGGTTTAGTTTAATCCTTTACAGTTTACATACTCTGCAAAGCAAAGCAAATCTAATCTTTTTTTTTTTCACATAGAAAATTATTTCCTTTTCCTTACTCTAGTTTTGGGTGTTATTATTTGTGACTAGTTTAGTAGTGTTAATTGCTATAAGCCAGCTTTTTTAACTAGTGTGATGCAAGAGCTTAGATTATTAGGCCATGAGAAGGTTTAGTAGGTGGCTGAGGAGGATCAAAAGCTTTCATAATAAGGCCCAGATGTGTCATACCAAAAAAAACAAAAGGCCCAGATGTGTGTTGATTCCATAGTAAAAGAGCTTACATAGTAAAAGGCCCAGATCTGTAAATTTGACTTTTCCAGTTTTACTAGATACCCTGGCAAAGCGAAGCAAAGTACAAAATAAAAGTACACGTACACTTAATTGTTTATAAACTAGTTTGTGTCCGAATCCGCCTCTCTGCACAAATCCCTTATCCGAGAAGGAGAACTTATTCAGTTATTTGCAAGAAAGGTTGATACAACCAAATCAATCAGATAGTAGAGATGTGTTATCTACTAATCTTGTGTAGTTGTAAACTGGGAATGCGAGAGCACCCCGACCCCGAAGAAGTTCAACCGCACAACAAGAGAAGGAAGAAGATGAATGAGGAGGCGTCTCCGTCGTGGTCTGGGTTGCCGGATGAGGTGGTTGTGAGTTGCATGGCTCGCGTTTCGAGATTGGACCTAGCAGCTTTATCACTCGTCTCCAAGAGACACCGCACTCTCGTAGCTTCCCCTGAGCTCTGCCGCACGCGATCACTCATTGGTTGCACCGAGGCGTCTCTCTACGTCTGCTTGCGCATCTTACCTGACCCAACCCCACGCTGGTTCGTCCTCACCGGTGACCGTTGCCTGAGACCGATCCCGTCGCACCCTTGTTTGGCTACGGAATCGTCCTCTTTCGTGGTGGTGGATTGGGGAATCTATGTAATCGGTGGAATCATAAACGGCGATCCCACTTCCGATGTCTTGTTCCTCGACTGTTTCTCTAAGACATGGCGCCGCGTCCCGTCCATGAAGATGGCTCGTGTTTCCCCATCGGCAAGCTTCGTAGAAGGAAAGGTTTATGTTTTTGGAGGGTGCCGAGTAGAGGACGTTGATGATTCCTCAAACTGGGCGGAGATATTCGATCCAAAGACTCAAACTTGGTGTAGGTACATTACTACTCCCAAGATGGCACTTAATCTCATCCAAATTGTGGTGATAGAGGAGGAGAAGAAGGTTTACGCCGTGGATGAGGATGACCAAAGCTTCAACTTTTTGCCAAGTGAAGGTACATTCTGGAGAAGCGGGAAAAAAGATTCAATGCTAGGAAGCAGAAATGATTGGTGTGTCATTGGGAAATTGTTATTCTGCCGTGGTACTCGCGGGCGGATACTTTGGTGTCAGCCAGATGAGTTGGATTGGAAGGAGGTAAAAGGTTTGGAAGAGCTGCAATTGCATCTTTCTGGTTTTAGGTACATCTTCAGTTACATCTTTATTGGCGATCAACGACCAACGAAGACCATTGTCAAGTATGATATTAGCAAACTCTCTAGTAACTCGGCTGGGAACATTGTCGTCTTTTGGAACGCGCATCTTGCAGATTCTGAGAGTATGGGGCTTTGGTCTGCCGAGATTTCTGTGGAGAGGCGCGAAGGAGGCGAGATTTGGGGAAAGATTGAGTGGTCCAATGCTGTCTTCAATCTTGGTCCTCTCTCAGACTCGTATAGCGTCAATGTCTTATTTTCTGCTTCTGTCCGTGTTTGAAGTTCAGAATCCTTTTGTAATTATTCAAACCAGACAGTACTAACAGGTTGCTAAGGTTAGCGACCAAAAAGCTGAAACTACTCTGTTTTGGATGGCTGTTCAAAAACAGAGATACATTACATTGACAGTGATGCAACAATAACTTCATGTTTGGCAAAGTGAAATCTGGAAGAGAAACAAGTATTTTAGCGTCGACGCTACGTCCTTTGCTTTGTTTTGCTAGATACTAAGTTAACTTTTCCATTTGACTTTGAGGAAACGAAACCACTTTAAGTGAACTTATATATATATATATATAATAACTAGGTTTTATATGCATACACTATGAAATCAATAATACTTATACTAAAACAAAATCAAATCATTGTTGTAACATAATTCAAGCAACAAAAGTTTTGCTTGCTTCCTCATAGTCTCCGTAGCCGTCTTTTTCTTCCGTTTTTATGCTCTCCGTCCTTCGATACTTGTAGTAGATATACTGCAATATTATCTGTTTTTGATTTTCTGAATTAAGGGAGCAAAATTAAACCAAACGAGAATGAGATAATTGATTTTTCAATAGTTGAGATATTGAAATGGGTAGAAAGGATACAAATAGATCGAGTACGACGCAGACAATGGCATCAAGCAACCAAGGGAGGTTTGGTTTGATGTTGTCCCATTCCGTTGTTCGGACAAGAATACTACCAACATATGTTACATTGGCTACTAGAGCGAATACAAACATAAGTGGATTCAGACCCTGCCAATTATCGAAACGTATTGATTTATTAGATCACATACTAGAATAACAATTAATTATACTTAATATGTGTTTGTTGTTGCCTTGCAATTTTAGTTGTTTACCTCGACACTTCCTCTTTTGATCTAGTAGTAAAGACATCGTCCAGGGTAAAAATCAGATTAGTTCCAACAATCAAAGAGAAGAAAAAAAGATGAATCAAGATTCGCTAAAGATTGCTTACGTTGAGCCAAATCTGAGGGATGCGACCGCCCATGTAAATGGCCGCCATTAGCCATCCCAGCCATTGTCCCAACGCGCTATGCTCTACTATTCTTTCCTGCACATAGACGACAATGTTTTGGAGTCATTTTTTCGCATTTCACTCATACACTATGAAACAACTAAATGCTATTATATGTCACACACATTTAGAAGCCGTCTGCTTGAAGAATGTGCGTACTTTTCCGCTAAGCTTTTGGCCTGAAGCGGAAGACTAGCCGATGCAGCCAAAAACGTTCCAAAACCTGCCTGAGAACAAGAAGTCCAGAATGGGTCAATATGTGTTCTTTTACCCTAAAGTGACTCTTTTTTTTAGTTCACTAAGTTAAAAGCATCACAAACCTGTCTTGGTATTGCCCTTGGTTGGGTAATGGTTTTAGCTGTTATAGCAGGACACGTAGACATTGTCTCATCTTCATCCGAGGAAGAACCATTATCTATTATTGCCATAGCCGAAGGACCACTCTTAGCAACTCGAAAATATGATGGTCTTAAAGGAGGTGTGCCGCTTCCTGCCAACGATCTCGCCGACCTGAACAAATAGTCACCGTTGTCACATCTGAATAAAGCTAATCTATAGGTTCTAGATTTCATCAGCAATAATGTAATATCTTTTATATGAATAAATGGTTTACTCTGTTCCTTCAAATCTTGAGAAAACGACAGAGTAGGTAGGGGGAAAGCATTATATAGTAAAAATATTATAACGCATATTAATATATGAAACTATTGTCACAAACTTTAACTTATTCGTAGTCAAATTAGAGTAAACTAAATATGATTAATTTGAATAATCCGTACGTGTAATAGAACTCTCTCCGAGGAGAATCTTTGAAAGATCCTCTTGGGATGGAAATAGCAGATCCCATCGTCTTCGGTGGGTTCAGTGGTCTCTTCTCGTCATCTTCCTCATCCTTAACAAAAATTTGGCACCCAATCAATATGATGATTAATCAATCATCAACACCTAACTATGTAATCAACTTTTAATTTTATAATCAACACTACACTATTATTTATTACCTGTTGGCAGATCTTAGTGCGTCCATGTCTACAAAGTTTGTAGATGTAATCATAGTAAATTGTCTGGATTACCAAAACCACAGTGCTCACTGTGTAAAGCTATAACGAAAGAGTTTAAGAAAATAAAGTTACCGAGTTGAAACTGTAAAAAAACAAAAAAATTAAGCGGTCGAATCAAAATAAACCAATCCGGAAAATAGACGTTGATTTTAGTGAAAACGACACGTAAAGTTTTGTGGCGACATATGTTTATGCGGCGAGAAGACGACGATGTTACCAAGGCTGTGTAGAGCTGAGTCGGCAACTGTTCAAAAAAAAAACAAAACAAAAATGAGAAAACATAAGTAAAAAGGAAATAACTATGTTTTGATCATAGCATAGAGGTTTTGTGTAACTTACAGTAGCTGGTTCAAGAAGACAACCGACGAGATTAAAGATATCACTGCACCGATTGATAAAAAGTCATATAAAAATAAGGTCAGAAGAGACTTGTTTGGATAAAGAATTGAAGATAAATGATGAGTGTGTACGGACCCGGCGACCCAAGCGAGGAGGAAGGAGAGAGAGACACCGTGACTGGACTTTGTACGGAAGTTAGTGATGATCTGAGGAATCTCTGCGACGCCCCAACAGATGAGGCTAGCAATTCCAAGTGCGAACGAGACGTCGTCGTTTAAGTTACAGAGACAGTCGTCGAAGTATCTCTCTACCCATCTCACGCATGGCTTCTTCTCCTTCAAGCAGTAACCTTCATACACCATCTCTCTATCTTACTAGTTCTTACTACTCTCTCTATCTTTATGTGTTTGTATCTGTCTCTCTCTCTCTCTCTCTCGGAGGGTCTATATTTTTATATAGGATTACGGGGGAAGAAAATGACAAATCAAAAGGAGATAGGAGAGAGATGTATATACAGTATGTCTAAAAAATACATGTATTAATATACTTGGGACCATTTATTTTACTTGATGAAGTGTATCGTGTCTACGAGTATATATGCATTAGCCACCATATATAATTCGAATCTTTTAAACTATTAGCAGTACTCTTACATCTTATGATTCTTTGTCTACTATATACTAACGCGATTAAGAAGCATTATCAAGTTGTTTATGTTATTAATGTGATGAAATCGATATGTGACATTAACTTCGTACTAAGATGAAAAGGAAAGACCATAATTATACCAAAGAGCACGCACATAACTAAGAATCTTCTTCCAACCATTAATCAAAGAGTTGGGATCAGGGTGGAAAAAACGGTCGATGTTATGATGAATGAGAGCATATTCTCTTTTATATATTTTGATGCTCTGCTGAAACTCCAATGTTCCGCCTTTTCAGTACGGTTTATTTCGTATATTCTTTTCATGATTCTCCAACGTTTTGATCTGAGTAGCAATACGTTTAATGTGAATTAAAACGTAAACCCTAAGAAAATGTGATCAGAAAGAAACTTGTATATTTTTTCGTCATTATATATTTTAACCTTCTAAAGGGTAAATCTAGTTTAATGGTTGATGTATATGTAATTCGTTCGGTTGAAAAACTCAAATCGAAAACCAAAACTAATCCGATTTCCTTATTTTGTCCTTTTTCTAGTAGTATTGATTATTTAATCCAAAGTGTACGAGAAACTTATTGGAATAATAACTCCATGATGTTGACGCCGTTATATAGTAGTATAGTGTAAAAGATGCTGTAAATTTTTATAACATTGTAATTTATAAGCAACTTGCATTTTGTAGTATCTAAGATATTTTCATATTTCCTTCCTATTTACAAAGCAAAACGTTAGGTCAAAACAGTTGCTTCGCTTTGCCTATTGGTAAATCATTTTTCGAAAAGCCCCCGACAAAGGTTGTCAATTTGTAGTTTTGTGGCACGATTGGCTGGTGCAAACCAACGGTCCAGATTGTTTTACTGAACCAGGAAAACAAAAGATATATTGAAGGTGCCAAATAGACTTCGTGGTGGCATCATATGTTACAATGATGATGACATCTTTCATGAACCGACTTTGCGAATTTCTTTATGAAGCGGTTTTTAACTATTAGATTTTGAGTTTATAATAATATCAGCGACTGAGGCACAAAAATGTTATTTATATAGACGATTATACGAACGTTCCTAAATTATACGTATATTTTTCATCAAAATGTGCATGCATTATATACAGAAAATAACATTTATATCAAAATCTGTTAATAACCTCGAACAAAATGGTTAGATCAAAGAAACTAGAAGAGACAAAAATTTACCCTAAAGTTAGTTCATGAATTTTGAGAAAAAAACACTTGAAAAGTTTTTGCCGTATAAAAAAGAAATGACAGAAACAAAGTTTAATACGTTGCCACGTTACGTCCTTATTCTCATCGACAAGACACAAGACATTGTGAAGGATCAATCCAGTAAGCAATAATTCTAAATGCCGATCACTCAGCCAACCATTAGTTTCGTTAACATCATACATATAAATAATGCTAATGATAATCTTTAGTTAGGATAAGTTGAATTTTAGACACTGATTGTTTTTGCTCCCGGAAAACAATGATGCGATTGTTTCTAAATGTATCCTGCCATAGAAATAGGTCAGGTCCATTACAAAACAACATGCTCAGAATTAATCGATAGTAAACAAAAGTTTTAAAATGTATCATGCCATAGAAATAAGTCTAGGTCCATTACAAAACAACATGTTCAGTTTAAACGATAGTAAACAAAGTATCAAGAATCAGTTTGGTCTCTCTCCAACATAAGAGTATGCTTAAGATTTATTTTCAGAAACCTTTCGTTAACTTAAAAGAAAAAAAAAGAAACTATAGCTTCGAATGGGAAAATAAAATAGGCAGAGCAGATCAAGTGTACAAGGCAGATCTAACAAAATAAAAGCAGATCAAGCAGATTTGGCAGTTCAAGTGCAGATCCTACATTAAAATAGAAGTCTTTAATCTGCTCTGCTTTATAGGGAAAAAACATGACCATAAAATAATTTTTTTTTTGTCCACCTACAGAATTTTAACAGGAGAACTGCAGTTATAAATAACTATTATTTATTTTTATGAATGGTAAACAAAAAGCAGTTAATCTGTCATGCTATATTACTGTTTTATATCTGCTTCTCCATTCAAAGCCTATCTCGGATGGATAATTAAAGGGTCCGAATGGTAACTGCGGTTTTCACTGCGGGAAAAGTGCGGTGCGGTTCAAATAGTAGCAAAAATATATAGATATATATGTATATGTAGATATTTTGACACTGTTACAGCACTGTTGCGGTGCGGTTTTGTAGTACGGTATGGTTACCAATCGAAGCCAAAGTTTGATATTGTAAAATTATTAGCTCTAATAAAATATTTTGAAACATAAACATTTCTAAAAGAAAACGAAAAAAGAGAGAAACGGCGACGAGGCGCCGCGACAAGTTTGGTGGAGGAAGTGGATAACACGTGTAATCATATCACCATATCTCTTATGTCTATCCTCAGACACATCTTCATATTGTTTTTTTGCATCTCTCTATCATTATATTTGTTGATAATGTCTAATATTTATTTTTTGGAAAGTTATGATTGTGAATTGACGAGAGACGTTTACGATTTTTATCCTCTACAACTCTGATAGCTCATCTTCCCATAATAATACTTAACATATAGAAAACGATACAATGGACGAAAATGTATAAGTATAAACACATGACGAACAATAGACTGATGTTTAATTCTTACACCTAAAACCATATTCTGTAGAATATATCTTGTTTATGCTTAGAAGTGTTGTTTATTTGTCGGGAACTAGAAGAAGATATTCTTCGAGTCTTCGATATTGGATTATACGATTTAAAAGACCAAATATAAAAAGATAGGAAAGTAGGCATGTAGCTTTTTTTTTTTAGGTTCTTTCACAAAGAAGTTTGTATTTTTATCAGATGGCAAGCATTCATATATTTTTATAATTTAGTTAGAGAGGTCAATATGACGATATTTATACGTTCTACGTTTTGTCCTTCGTCCTCTCAGAGAATAGAAGAGCCATGTATATATAGAATTTTTGATACATATACTCATATACAAATATATCAATGTATATATAGAAATCTATCTATTTTTCTTTTTTTACATCTCTATATATCCACTTGTTCAGATATGACAAACTCAAACTAGTGAACGTACGTAGAGATCTAGATTAGAGAACAGAATAGATAAAAAAGCATGCCAAGAACCTTTGATCTTGACTCTTGAATCTTGAGCATGTTCTGTTTCCCACCACCAAAGGATAATAAAATGGGCTAATGGAATAATGCGAAAAAAGGAAAAAAAAATAAAATCCCATAATGTTTCCCAAAGCCATAATAAGCTTGTGAAATTGACTTAAAGGATGGAAACTTTATTACGACTCGTAAATGTGTGTATATGATGAACCTATACATTTTGCTTCTTTTTTTTTTTTTTTTCAGTCTATACTCTAAAAAAAAAACTATAACAAAGCTTTTTGGTTTTGTTTTCTCTCTTTAATAAAGTTTAGATCCCACTTAAGGGAATGTACCCGTCATGCGAATATGGTCGAGGGTTCGCCTCAGACCATGCTTAAGAACTGCTTGGTTACCTTGCCTGAACCCATCCCCATATGCCGATGAAGAATCCGACTCGATCTGGTGCTTGAAAAACTCACCAAGTTTCTTCTCAAAATCAGACCTCTCCCCTTTCTTGGACGATACAGAGATCACAGCTGATGTTGATGACGAAGAGGAAGATGCGATATCTACTAATGTAGAGCCAGCATATGTCTCAGATTCCAACCACATGTGAGCTAAAACCTGACAGATCCCTTCTTCCACTTCTGGTCTAAGATTTGGATACCCTGCTCATACATATACAGAGCCAACAAAACCCCAAAGAGCAAATCACTAATCAATATTTCCCTAGGTTCAAGTGCTCACCATAATGAGAAGGGAGAGTTCTTCAAATTACCATTTAGTCGAAGCCATGCATGCATCATCTCATGAGCAAGGATTGACCCAGTTAACAAACTGTACAAGTGCAATACAAAATTTATGATATCTCATAAAGAAAGAAGTTCTTTTTTTAAGAGTGAGTTGAGAAAGTGTTTATTTACCGAGGAAGTCCATATAAAATGAGAATTGCAGTAACTTCACAACGGCGTGTCAGCCTGCAAGGCTCTGTGATCATGTCTATTAACTTGTAGCCTGCTCCAATTCTTGGTCTCCTTAACACCTAGATGAAAATTTTACTAAATTAAAAACAAATTGAAATGGAAAGAAATAATTCTATATGATGTTACTGGTTTGAAAACTGGAAGAGTGAATACCGTGGTCACAGTTTGTTCTTCAGACAAACAAAGTCCTCTAGTTTCAGGTAAATGATGATGTCCCTGCAGCAAAGTTAGATAAAAGTACGTTAAAATGAATGAGCAAGAAATAAAGAAAGAGAGTGTATAGTAATATTCAATTAATTGCAGTGTTACATGTTTCTCTCCTTCCATAGCTTCGTTTAGAGCTGATCTCTCCACCAAGAGCATAGGAATTTGCTGTTCGACTTTCATGTGTAATCCTTCATAAAAATCACGTATCTCAAGGTACAATGGCTGGCATTCATTATTATCCATAATGGCTGAGTCAAGGCATTCCAGACATAGTTTTCGACCATCATCAAGAATGAGATATTTTGTATCTTTTGGCTGAAACCATGAGTAAAAAAAAAAAAACAGAACAACATTTAGTTTAAAAACATATTCTTAAATTTGTTTTCCTAGTTCCTAGAGTAGAAACGATATATCGAATAACTGACCTCCATTCGCTCACAACTGCAACACCGA